CCTTCTCCCGACTCTGGGAGCCCCTTCTGGGAACGGCTGGCATGGAACGTGGGCCTGTCGTGGGCTGGGCACACCGCCACGGCACCTCCTGATGCTAACACGGGAACTAGCCCTGCAGTCCCCCGGCGCCTCCTGATGCTAACACTGGCACTAGCCCTGCAGTCCCCCGGCACCTCCTGATGCGATGCCCTGCCCAGGCACTCAGCAGCTCCCTGCCGCTCCTGGGAGAGCCACCGGGCAAGTGCCGTGGGTGTTATGTTACACAGATCCCTTTCATTCCTGGAGACTGGATTCCGACTGGATCGATTTCCCAGGACACAGCCCATCCAGTTCCAGGCTGGCACGGGTCTCGAGCTCCGAGATCGGGCCAGAGCACTCGCCCCAGTTCTCTGCCCCTCCCCTGCTCTCCACAGCTAAGTCGGTTCACTGCAGTGACTGGTCTCTGCATCCTGCGACTGCCCCGGTTACCTGCATGTCCCAGCGCGCTCCCTCCATGAACAGCCCATGGACGTAGGCGCCCTCCCGGGGAGGGCTGCTCAGATCTTCCCGGGTCTTCTTCGTCACGTCGCACTGCAGAGTCATCCTGTCGAGCGGCCACTCGCTCTTGCGGGCCGTGGACTGCAGGATGGCGGTCAGGAAGGACTGAGGGTTGAAGAATCCCGCCAGCCACACGACAGAGGGCAAGACAAAGTCTCCTGTCCACGTCTCAAGCTCCTTGATGCGGCTGAGCAGGTCTGCAAACCAGCCCGCCAGGCCCGCCACGGAAGGGTAAGCCCTCCTCGTCCAAGACTCGGGCACAGTGTCCAGGAAGAGGGCGCTCTGTAGGTTCTCCATATTGCTTGTCATTGTCAGCTCCCCCTGGCGGGAAAAGGAAGAAGAGGCTAATAAGCAGAAATGCAGCCACCTCTGGAGTGAAACCGGGCAGCTGTTCAGCTCCGCACGGCAGCTCCCTTCCCACAACAGGCCAAGCTGGGCAGCACAGACAATGCTGCACCCCGGGGTCCTCACACTGCGATGTTCCTAAACTCAAGACTGTCCTGTGGTCTCTTCCTACAGCAGCCTCCCAACGCCTCGCGCTGTGTGCGACCCAAAGAGTGGGGGGGGGGAGTGCAGACCAGGGATGTGCGGCAGGACCGCTAGCTGCTCCCTGGGCTGCTCTCATTTCCTCTCCAAAGCTGGAGCCTTAAGGGCCAGATTTCCCCCAAAGGGGTCGGCACTTCCCAGCACTGCAGCCCCGGGCTCTGTCTGGGAAATCTCACCAGAGGCTGCTCGGTATCAAACGGTCCCTCTTTTCCCTAAAGCCTTCCCGTTTCTGCCTCCCGCAGGCTCCTTGCAGCATGGGTCTAAGGCAGCCACGTTTCAGTAGAATCCTAGAACCCCAGGGCTGGAAGAGACCTCAGGAGTCATCAAGTCCAGCCCCCTGCCCAAGGCAGGACCACTCCCAATCCCAATCCTAGTTGAAAACCAAGAAACAGTGAACAGATGAAAACATGATGCAGCCAGGCAAGGCTCCTGGACTCCAACCCTGGCACACCAGCACCGGGGGTACAGCTCACTGCCTGGACAGCAGCAGGTACTACGCAGAGATTCAGATGAACCTGGAACTATCCTGTTGGCAGACAGTGAGCAGCAAAGAGGCAGTGCACTCGCCCCAGGACGGGCATCCTATGCCATGGAGGTTGTGAAGACCAGGGCTCTAGCAGGATTTAAAAAGAACGACCGGTAGCTAGATCCATGGGGCTAGTTCCATTGGTGGCTACTAGCCAGGATGGGGAGGGCTGGTGTCCCTGGCCTGTTTGTCAGAGGCTGGGAATGGTGACAGGGGAGGGATTTCTGGACGGTTCCCTGTTCTATTCACTCCCTCTGGGGCACCGGGCATTGGCCATGGCTGGCAGACAGGACACTAAGCGGGATGGACCTTTGGGCTATGTCTAGACTGCAGGCTTCTTTCGAAAGAGAGCGTCTAGACTGCACGGAGAAATTTCGAAAAAGTGGCTTGCTTTTTCGAAAGAAAGCATCCAGTGAGTCTGGATGCTCTCTTTTGAAGAAGCCCTATTTACATTGAAGAACGCCTTCTTTCGATAGAGGAACTTTCGAAAGAAGGCGTTCTTCCTCGTGAAATGAGGTTTACCGCCATCGAAAGAAAAGCCGCGTTCTTTCAAATTAATTTCGAAAGAACGCGGCTTGAGTCTGGACGCAGGGGAAGTTTTTTCAAAAAAAGGCTACTTTTTTCGAAAAAACCCCTGAGTCTGGACACAGCCTTGGTCTGACCCTGGCTGGCTGTTCTCATTCTACAGAGCTGTGGTCACTTCTAAGTAAGCTTCCTTTCTCATCTGCATCCTGGATTGTGCACAGTCTGAGGGAGGTCAGTGACCATTAACAGCTAGCCCGAAGGGGTGGCTAAGGACTAGCAATTCTACAAAGGTTTCACTGCCCAACTGGGCATGAGCCTGCTTGCCAAGTCCAGACAATAATGCCGTGGAAAGGGCTGAAAAGAGCTCTGGAGAGCCGCCTGGCGTGCTCGGAGGGAGACATTCCAACCCTCAGACACGCAGCAGCGGGCTCACGAGAACGTGCAATGCAAGAGGCATGAACTGATGTGGACATGCACACCCACCCTCCTATCGGCTGATGCAGCCCACGACGACGGTGCTACCCCGGTTTGTGGGACAGGTTCTGTCAGTTTGAGTGTTGACGGGCCTGTTCTCCTCTGCATTCCAAGGCTTGGCACAGCGAGACGCCCGAGCGGGCTCCCAGGCCCCTGGCGCATCTCTCACCATACACCTAGCGGCAGATGAGAGCTGCAGTTGCTCTCAGGCTCTGTCTGCTGCTGTCAAGTGTCCTGGGCTGTGTAGGGCCTGGTCCCAAGCGCTGGCTGGGTGGGTGCGCTGCAAGAGGTCAGACGGGATGGCCTGCGAGTCGCGTCTGACACAAGCCGTGCTGAGGCTGACAGACGGACTGCATCGAGCGCCAGGACGTCTCCCTCGGACCCAGCCTTCCACAGAGGCAGGAGGGAAACAAGCTTAGAAAGTTTCATGGCAAATCGCTTGGCTGCTCTGTTGACTGGGAGTTTGCAGAGAACTGGGATCTCTGCACCTCCGGATCCCTCGCTTTGGAAGCCAAGCCCGCAGTGACTCAGAAATGGCAGACTCCTCGCTGGAGGATCTGCCGATGGGAAGAGGGTCAGACAGGAATCCCTGTGGAGCCTCTGGTCAGCATTCCAAATGGGAGTGCCTCGGGTTAGGCAGAAACTCATATTTAGCCATCTAAGTGACCGGACTGGCGAGTCGCTGGCGTCCTGCGTCCCCATTTCCCATGCTGGCCTGTCAGGGAAGGCTCAGACTGTCGGAGTCTCTCTGTGTCTCTGAGATTGCACCTGACCGTCAGGGCTAGGACTCGGCTGCAGACCCTGATGCCATGTCCAGACTGCTGAGCAAGATGCTCTAAGCAGCGGGAGCGGACGCAGGGGCCAGAGGTTTCTCTGCCGGCCCTGGGTCTCTCTGCGTCTCACTCACTTCTTGCCTTACTTCCCTGCTGTACTTTTTGTGCATGTTCTGTTACCGCCTAAGCGCTGACCGAGCCTCTGTGATTTAGTTCAGGGCCCTTCTTCTCATTGTTTTCCCAGGCCAATATGTAGTATCTTGCGTTTCTCCACATTAAATCTAATTGCTACACATTGTCCCAGTTACAATAATATCTTGTTTGCTACTTCGAGATTGAAACATTAAATCACTTCTGTTTACCTGTCTCAGGAATGGAATTTCCAATTCAACTGCCAAAGTCTGGTAAATAAAGTAAATCTGTTTACAGTAATTGGAAGCATAAATATCAGCCTATTTTAAAGTGGCTTGTGTATAGTACAAAGGACTCACAACATTTCTATCTCTTTAGTCAATAGAACAGACACCAGTTTTCCAGCAGAAGGCAGATGTCACTCAAACTCTTCTTGATTTCCAGTTTTTAGCGCCTTCCGTCTGCAGGAAATGCATATGAAAAACGTGCTTTGTGTTCACCACTTTGCTATTTTAACAATGGGACACACTGATTAAAATAGAACAGTTTCTGCACGCCCTAGCAATACCGCACTTTCACTTTCATGTGCTTTTCTACAGCAGGGCAGTGGATTAATCAGTCCAGAGAATTATGAAAATAAAACATTTCTTAGCACCCTGCTCCACAGATCTGCACCAAGTGGCTATGAATCAGAATTCCCAGTTCTGCCCTGGGGAACGAGAGAGGAGGAAGGAGCTGGGACCGTACGCAGGGAATGACGCCCCTAGAACAGAATGGAATTAAATGGTGATTTTAGAATCAAATGGTGATTTTTTGATGGTGTTAATTGTCTTGTACAGCAGGTGGGATGGTGTTAATTGTCTTGTACAGCAGTATAAGAAATGTGTTTTCTGCCTGGTCACTTTCTCCTCTTAGAGCAGGGGCAGGTCGAGTTCTCACACTGGACTGATTTGTCTGAGGGAGCTTGGTAAGAAAGGGGCCTGCCCTCTACCTTCCCATGCAGATGAGACAATCTAGACTCTAGTAATAGGGTTAGTAAACGCTACCCCAGGGCCTGCCGAAGGGACCTTGCTGTAGGGAGCAGAGGACGATTATCAGGCTGTATGTGTCTCTCAGGAGACTTCCCTTCTGTGTGCCCCAACCGCAGAGCCAAGGGAAGAAGAGCATTCCTTCACCATGCTGCCCTCACAAAATGACCTGGGGGGTTACATTTGCCCCTCTTTGGAGACAAGACTCTGTCTTTCGAGTGAAGCAAAATGCAGGACAATGTAGCACTGTAAAGACTAACAAGATGGTTTATTAGGTGATGAGCTTTCGTGGGCCAGACCCACTTCCTCAGATCAAATAGTGGAAGAAAATAGTCACAACCATATATACCAAAGGATACAATTTAAAAAAATGAACACACATGAAAAGAGGGGTGGTTCCCGCGGGCGGGGCACGCACAGAACGTGTCCCGCACGCGGGGGGGCGGGGCGGCCTGAGCCCTGCTCCCCGCGCTGCTCGCTGCCTGGGGGCGGGGCCGGGTGCCCGCTGAATCCCCCCTGTGCCCGGGGGGGGATGCTCTGGCCCTGGCTGCCCGCAGTGCCGCCCAGTGCCCGGCTGTGCCTCCTGCAGAGGCCGAGAGCGTCCTGGGTGGGGGCGTGTGGGGAGAGGGGGGGAGTGGCTGAGAATTGGGGGGCAAACAGGGGACAGACAAACCAACCGACAGAAAAGCCTCCCTGCCTGGCCCCCAGCTGAGCGGAGAAACGTCCCCCTGGCGCCAGAGCACTGCAGGGCCCAGCCTAGTCGCTTTGTGCGCTCCAGCCCCACGGCGTGGGGAGGGGGCGACGGTGGAGGAGCCCCACGCACCCAGGCCTTAGGTTCCCCACCCGCCTTCTAAGCACTGAGCATTTTAGGCCTGGCTGGACTAGAGAAGGGGGCACCAGGGGAGTTGCCGCTGAAGGCGCGCGGCCGCGCACAAACACCCCTCTGCCGCCCACCTCCCTTGCGGAGCCTTGCAGCGGCACTCGCCTTCCTGCTGGCCGGGGAATGGCGCGGTTGTTTTCCTGATCTGGTGGAGGGCGGCTGCCCCGTTGTGTCCCTGCTGGGGCAGCCTCGCCCCACCTCCAGCTGCGATTGGGGCTTCTGTTTGTTTCTGTTCATACAGTTTGCTGCAGTTTTCCATCCCGGAGGACCTGCGTGAAGGTGGTCCGACCAGAGATACGGGGATCGATTTTTAAGAGTAAGAGGTTTTGTTTTTAAAGCAGGGGTGAGGAACCTAATACCCCAGCTCACGTGAGTGTGGCCCTCGAGACTCAAGGTTCCCACACTAACGCTCTAGCTCCCCTCCAGATTGGTGATAGAAATGTAGCCGTGTTAGCCTGGGGTAGTTGAAGCAAAATGCAGGACAATGTAGCACTTTAAATACTAACAAGATGGTTTATTAGATGATGAGCTTTCGTGGGCCAGACCCACTTCCTCAGATCAAATAGTGGAAGAAAATAGTCACAACCATATATACCAAAGGATACAATTAAAAAAAATGAACACACATTAAAAGGACAAGTCATGTGTGTTCATTTTTTTTAACGATGACAAGTGGTATATATGGTTGTGACTATTTTCTTCCACTATTTGATCTGAGGAAGTGGGTCTGGCCCACGAAAGCTCATCATCTAATAAACCATCTTGTTAGTCTTTACAGTGCTACATAGTCCTGCATTTTGCTTCAGCTACACCAGACTAACACGGCTGCATTTCTATTACTTTTTGAGTGAAGGACCCTGCTGATCTCCACTTGCAGGAGCTGCCAGAGGGAAAGGAATACAGGCTGGATGGGAAGGAGTCTGGGAGCTATCCGGCTATAGTAAGAGCAGCCAGACGGGATCAGACCAAAGGTCCATCCACCCCAGTGCCCTGTCTGCCCACATGGCCAAGGCCCGGTGCCCCAGGGGGAGTGAACAGAGCAGGGAATCACCAAGTGATCCATCCCCCATGGCGCACAGAGGCTACGGGCACCATTGCTACCCATCCTGGCTACTGAGTGCTGATGGACCTGTCCTCTGCCAGTTTCTCTTGTTCTCTTTTGAACCCCGTTGCAGGCCTGTGATACCTGCCAAAGCCCCATCAGCCAATCTGGGAGTCGAAACGATCCTGGTTCCTCCAAGCATGGAAATCTTTGCCTTGCTGACGACTCAGAGCCAAGCAGATCGCTAGTCGGGGTCCTGCCCACCCCCCGCACGCCAGCGTGGCTGAGCAGGGCATTTAGGAGTTTAAGTTACTGAGGTCCCCGTGATGCCCAGTGGGCCACAGAAATGCCTTGCCCAGGCTGTGGGCTGTTTGGCTTTCGCAGCATCGGAGCTGAGTGCGGTGGCCTTTGCAAACAGGCCGAGGAGCGGCTCAGTGACCCTCTCCTGGCACAGCCCCTTTGCCCCCGCACTTGACGGCCTGACAGCCTGCCCATTGAACAAGCAGCTCCACTTCCCTGGGGAACCTGCAGGGCCGCATTACGACTTTCGTGGGCCTTAGGCACTTTTGTCTTCGTGGGCCCCTTCCTCCATAAAAAAAAAATATTAAAAATTATTTTTGATATAACTTTACATACCTGAACATTTTTTTTTCTGTTTTAGGCAAAATTTAATAGATTTTCGTGGGCCATCAAAGTTTCATTTTTTTCTGATGTGAGAAAAAAATTAAAACATTTTCTTCGACCCTGAAAGTTCATTTTTTTAAATTCTGATTTTAAAAGAAATTAAAACATTTTCATGGGCCCCTAAAAGTATGGTGGGCCCTGGGCACTGTGCCTGCTGTGCCTAATGTATAAGTCGGCCCTGGGAACCTGCCCCAGCTGATCCACTCGGCCCCTCCTTTGCTCACCACTCTCCGTCCAGCTCTGCAGCTGGGGGAGGTGCCTGGGGTCGGTACGGACGGGCGTGGATCCATCAGTTCTCTGGCCTCTTGTTCCCGGCAGAGGAGCCAACAGGACTGGCTGCCCTGCCAGCCTTTCGTGGGGTGCAGCACCCACACAGCAGCGCGGTGTTAACGCCAGCCGTGTGCATGTGCCACCCGGCGCCAGGCAGCGCACTGGTACAAGTGACCTGCCGCATCCCACCATCAGCTCGGGACGGGGCTCTGGTGCACTGAGCCACACACAGGAGCTAGGGACTGCAGCCTGGCGGTCTCAGCCCATTGTCACCAGTGCTCCTGAACCCCAGACACCCTGCGGGCCACTCACTGCACTAGCGCCTAGGAACCCCACTAGTGCTTGGCCCCACTGAATCTGTCCCTGCACTTCCCAGGCAGGTGCAAGAAACCCTGCAGGAGGCCGTTACGGGGTAAGCTCTCCACAGGGCAGTTTCTTCCTTTAGAAATGGTCCCTGCTGCAGGGTGTGTAATGCCCCTTCCCAAACGCTTGGCTTTTCACATCCGGGCCACTGCTACAGAGACTGTTACGTGGGGAAGAAGTGGCCAGAGGGCAGTAAATAAAATCATAAAAGGGTCCGGAAGCATCGGCATATTTGGTCTTGAGAAATGAAATCTGAAGAAAGGAACCTGATTAGAGATTTCAAATACGGAAAGGGCTGTTCTAAAGAGGACACTGACTGATTGTTCTTCATCTCCACTGAGGGCAGCACAAGGAGTTTCATCTCTAGCAAGGGAAATTTCGGTTAGCTAGAAGGGGACGCTGCCTTACTGAGCGCAGGGATGGATTACCAGGGAGGCTGTGGACGCTCCATCTTTGGAGGTCATTAAGAAAAGTTTGGACACACACTCATGGGCAGGGCAGTGCTGGACTGAGCCATACTTGCGCCCTGGGCAGTGGGCGCGCAGCACATGTGTGGCCCTGCCCTGGGCGCACGTCGCCTGATTGACATGGTAAGGGGCGCCGCGCGTGGGCGCCTGACTGAAGTGGTAAGGGTGCCATGTACCCAGTATATCCACGACCCCACCCCTGGGCGCACGGCGCCGCTCATCACTTCAATCAGGCGCCCCCCATAGGTTAGTGCCCCGGGCAGCTGCCCGGCTAGCCCCCCTTAATCCGGCCCTAGACCTGGATGTACTTGGCTCTGCTCCAGCATGGGGTACGGACTAGACCCTGTCAGGGCCCTTCCAGCTTCAAACTGCTGTGATTTCTGATGGGATATTTTTCACAGACTCCTAGGACTGGAGGGGACCTTGAGACCAAGCACCACCTGGACCATCCCTGACAGATGTTTCTCTGACCCGCTCTTAGATGTTTGCAGAGATGGCAATTTAACTCCACTGCTTAACCACCCTGCCAGTTGGGACCTTTTCCTAATGTCCAGCCTGAACCTCCTTGGCTGCAATTTAAACCCATTTCTATCCCTAGAAATGACTGACCCTTATGTTCCCTGTCGTCAGCGACACCGTTACCGTGAGTCCGACAGGCTGCTCGGGCATTGTGCAGAGAACTTCCTTGGGCCTCGCCAAGGGCCCGAAGGTGGGGGGGAGGGGAGGGGAAGAGGCACATGCATTTTCCACAGACTGGGTGGCCCAAAGGGACCATTGGGCTCATCTCGTGTACCCAATGAAGAACGATGGTGAAGTCTGCCCCCTGGAGCCGCGTCACCATGCAGCCGCTGGGCTGTGTCGGGTCCCGTCTCAGAATGTCGCTGCTGAAACGCGAGAAACGCTCATTTCTCCTCACACCCCCGTCACTCCTGCTCTCCGGTCGTTCAGCGTGCACGTGAGATGTCGAGCAGAGAGCGCGCCTACCTTTAACCCCAGATCTAGCTCCTGAAGGGAGCGCTTTATCTCACTGCTGAGGATGTTCATGCGTTCACATTCCTGGAAGGCAACCACCACGTAGGGAGTCCGCTCCTCCACCTTTGCCATCAGCTCCGGGATGTTAAACTCATCTGGTAACTTCTCTAAAATCTCGTCCAGACAAGCCTTCACCTGTGAGCCAAGGGCGAGAGAGAGGAGTCAGGGCCTGGGGATCTTCCACCAGGGACAGAGGCCTACGGTGCTCAGTGTTGGTGGGGCCCTTCCCACTGAATGGGGAGAGAGCCGCGCCTGCCACTTCCTGCAGTCTGTGTCCCACCGGACCACGCGTGGCCCCTTTCAAACCGGCCCATTCCGACCTGGGAAAACCCACATGCCTGCCAAGGCACACAGGGCTCCTTGAACAGGACTAGCCAAAATGGCCACATGGGGCAGCAAGCTCGTGTGCACGGCTCCCTTCCCACGGCCAGGCTCAAGGCAGGGAGGCAGGACTGCTACCTCCAGAGCTGCTGACTGTGAATTATTCTTTAATGTTTCTGCGACACCGAGGGGAATTTGATTTTCTGGACAAACCCAGCAGAACGAGGCAAGGTATTTCCCACCTCCTTGGGATGAATGAGCGCGAGCGTGTGACCAATGAACAGAAAACGCATGGCCAGGGACTCCACCCCTCCGCCAGACAGCTCAGTGCCCTGCAGAGGAGGGTCCCGAAGAGCGAACGCTGTCAGGGGATGGGAGCCGGAGGGTGCTGGAGTGTCCCTGGCAATGCCAGACTGCGCCACCCGTCCTGCCTTGCTGGTGGCGCCAGCGTCGCCCTCGGAGTCTCCGCCCTCCAGCCGCCTCCCTGTGGCTATTGTGCAGACCCAGCAGGGGCCCAGAAGTGAAAGGTGGCCAAGCCAGCATGCTGGGAGTCGCAGCTCCACCTGAATGGGCTTTGGAAAAAGGACGAGCTAAGAAAACTCCCGGCTGTGTGTTCGTATTTCACAAATCTGCCTGGACAGATGGAGAACCACGGAAGGGGCCGTGCCAGGGCGCAGGGTAACCCTACTTCCCAGGCTAGAAACGACTCTGGTTACGTGGCTGGGGAGTGAGCCACTCCCGAGTGCACAATTCACACTGCCCCGAGCGCCGGCGTGGATCGCGCCCGGTCGCAGCAGCGCTCAGGCACTGGGAGGCCTCTCTCCCGCCAAGTGGGAGCATGTTCGCTAGGAGCGCGACAGCGGCGCCTGCACCACTCCGCCAGCTGGGCGCGGACACAGCCCGAGGGCGCGTCTACACAGCAGGGCTACCGGCGAGTGAAGCAACACAACTCCAGCGCCGTCCCCTGCGCAGCTGAAGCGGAACAGCGTAGCTTGGCTTTTGGCACTGCCTGCAGGGCGTCGAGGGGAGAGCCCTCTCCCTCCCCCTCCCCTTCCTCCTGGGGAAGCGAGGCCACAGGAGTCCTCCCACTGGCCAGGCCTTCGAAATTAACTCTTTGCTATTTCAGAGTAATGTCAGTGGCGCCCTGTGTAGACGTGCCGAGTCGCCCTGCCCTGCTCTCTGCATGAAGGTGCAGCGAAAAGCCGCCTCTCCCCTCGCTGCTTCTCTCCCGCTCTTCGGGCTCGCACGGCCAATCAGGAGCTGCAGCCTTGTGGGTTCCACGTGCCCCGCCCCTCGCCGTCCCCAGTGCTTGTGAACACGCTCCAGTGCCGCAGTGCCACAGAAAGCCCGGCTGGCCTTGTGAGTGACACGTGCCTGCACCTGTCGCGGGGCAGCACCTGACACTGGTGATTTGCTCTCCCCCAGTGAGAATGGGCCATGTCATTCACTCAGGCCCTTGGGCTGGCTGAGAGTAAGGACTCTGGCCGAGGCCTGGAGAGGGCTGTAGTGGGCAGGAGCTGCTGAGATGCCAGGGACGGGGCCAGGAGAGCAACAGGCAAACCCTCCCTGGCTTCTCCCGAGCAGCCTTCCTGCTCTCCTGGCCTTTGCTGAGGGCCATGGCAGCGGCAGTGCCGGGGGGAGCGCTTCACGTCACTCCCTCTGGGGCACCCAGCCTTGGGCACTGTGGGCAGACAGGACAGGCGAGATGGCCTAGGTCTGACCCGGCCTGGCCATTCCTACGCTCTAAGTCAGAGTCCTCTGTGCCGGCCTGGTTCCACCCACATCACTTCTCCCTGGCACCCCCCACCTCGTGGCCCTTGCTCGGGTCTCCTGGAGCTCCATGCAGACTCCCTCCGAGAGCTCGAGGGGCTAGCGGCTAGGCCAAGGACGGGATGAGTGAGGGCAACAGGGCTGTGAGGAGGGAGGGATGGGGAGTGGGCACTGTCTCACTAGCAGCTGAGGACAGCAAAACCTCTGGGCATCTCAGAGGGAAACAGGGTTAAACCACTTAGTTCCACCCCTATAGTTTCAGGACGTACCAATGTGTGAACGCACGTCCTGCACGATCCCAAAGCAAAATGGTGCATTGGCCCAGATTGCCCTAAAACTGGTCCAAGTGCCCTGAAAGATTCATGAGCCCCAGCAAAGCTCTGAGCCACCTGGACTCTTGGTGCCCTGGTCTCCAGGGAACCCAGGAGCAGAGCTGGTGTAAGGTCACTGCGGCGCGAGTGAGCTGGTGGGAGGCAAGGAGGTGCAGGGCCTGGGGGAAGCCCTCAGACCGGGCAGGAGGCAGGCAGTCGTGGGGAGGAAGACTTGTCCAGCGTTTTGTGCATGGTGCATTCTGGGAGCTGCACTTCAGAGAGCCACGCTGCCAGTCCCTGTGGTTCGTGGCTGTGCGCCAGCAGGGGTCACGGCCGGGTTCATCTGCAACGTCCTCTCGTCAGAGCCTCCCTCCACAAGCGTGGGCAGGGAGCAAGGCCTACAGATGTCTCTGTCCTCACAGGGTGCGTGCAAAGACTTACACCGCTCCCGCAGAGCTCCATGGGAGTGCAGTGCTCCCCGCGCACCCTGCACAACGGGTGCTCCCCGCGTACCCTCCACAACGGGTGTGTCACGTTACCGAATTGGAGGGAAGCAGCCAGATCGCTGCTGCACCCCTAGGTGGGGGTGTTGGCCCCAGAAATTGGTATAAAAGGGAGCCATGTGGGGTATTGAATGGGAGCTTATTGTTTGCTGATCTTATGTACGCTATTTATGTGAGTGTATAATGTCTGTGTGTGTAGGTAGGAATCTGTAATCTGTGTGGAAGCTGAATATTTCTCTGAATGTGGTTAAGCATTGCTATGGACAGGCTGATTAGCCAGGCCCTGTGGGACAATGGCACTTGATGGGCCAAGGACACACCCAAAGAATGGGGGCTGTCACCTGAGAGCAGCCAGCAGGAAACACAGAGATTGGCCTCTGACCAGGTGACCTGCTGCATACAAGAAGAGGCCAGGAAGGAGGTATAAAGAGGCCATGTGGTCGATGCCATTTTGTTCTCAGCTCAGCACTTCATCCCAGAGGCAGCACTGCAGGGATCGAAGAGCCCGGAAGACCTGTGAACCCATCCTGATCTTAGGATGTGCAATAAGAACTTTTAAACCAGCAGCTGCAACATCTCTGCTAGAGCCTGCATCGAGGACTGGGAGATTCGGTGCATGTAACGTACTATTCCTTTAACAACCTTACTCTCATGCTTTTCTTTCTTGTGATAATAAACCTTTAGATATAGATTCTAAAGGATTGGCCCAGCGTGATTTGTGGGTAAGATCCAGAGGGTAAATTGACCTGGGACCTGTGGCTGGTTTCTTGGAACCGGACAGAACTTGTTCGGGATAGGTGGGATTGGGTGCTAGGACCCCCCCACCTGTGTATGAGGCCCGGGGCCCCGCGCACCGTGTACAAAGGCAGCTCCCCACACACCCTGCACAAAGGGTGCTCCCCGCGCACCCTGCACAAAGGGAGCTCCCCGCGCACCCTGTACAAAGGGAGCTCCCCGCGCACCCTGCACAAAGGGTGCTCCCCGCGCACCCTGTACAAAGGGTGCTCCCAGCGCACTGTGTACAAAGGGAGCTCCCCACGCACCGTGTACAAAGGGAGCTCCCCACGCACCGTGTACAAAGGGTGCTCCCCGCGCACTCCCCCTGCACCCTGCACAACGGGTGCTCCCCACGTACCCTGCACAACGGGTGCTCCCCATGCACCCTATACAAAGGGTGCTCCCCGCACACCCTGCACAAAGGGAGCTCCCCGCGCACCGTGTACAAAAGGGAGCTCCCCGCGCACCCTGTACAAAGGGTGCTCCCCGCGCACCGTGTACAAAAGGGAGCTCCCCGCGCACCCTGTACAAAGGGTGCTCCCCGCGCACCGTGTACAAAAGGGAGCTCCCCGCGCACCCTGTACAAAGGGTGCTCCCCGCGCACCGTGTACAAAAGGGAGCTCCCCGCGCACCCTGTACAAAGGGTGCTCCCCGCGCACCGTGTACAAAAGGGAGCTCCCCGCGCACCCTGTACAAAGGGTGCTCCCCGCGCACCGTGTACAAAAGGGAGCTCCCCGCGCACCCTGTACAAAGGGTGCTCCCCGCGCACCGTGTACAAAAGGGAGCTCCCCGCGCACCCTGTACAAAGGGTGCTCCCCGCGCACCGTGTACAAAAGGGAGCTCCCCGCGCACCCTGTACAAAGGGTGCTCCCCGCGCACCGTGTACAAAAGGGAGCTCCCCGCGCACCCTGTACAAAGGGTGCTCCCCGCGCACCGTGTACAAAAGGGAGCTCCCCGCGCACCCTGTACAAAGGGTGCTCCCCGCGCACCGTGTACAAAAGGGAGCTCCCCGCGCACCCTGTACAAAGGGTGCTCCCCGCGCACCGTGTACAAAAGGGAGCTCCCCGCGCACCCTGTACAAAGGGTGCTCCCCGCGCACCGTGTACAAAAGGGAGCTCCCCGCGCACCCTGTACAAAGGGTGCTCCCCGCGCACCGTGTACAAAAGGGAGCTCCCCGCGCACCCTGTACAAAGGGTGCTCCCCGCGCACCGTGTACAAAAGGGAGCTCCCCGCGCACCCTGTACAAAGGGTGCTCCCCGCGCACCGTGTACAAAAGGGAGCTCCCCGCGCACCCTGTACAAAGGGTGCTCCCCGCGCACCGTGTACAAAAGGGAGCTCCCCGCGCACCCTGTACAAAGGGTGCTCCCCGCGCACCGTGTACAAAAGGGAGCTCCCCGCGCACCCTGTACAAAGGGTGCTCCCCGCGCACCGTGTACAAAAGGGAGCTCCCCGCGCACCCTGTACAAAGGGTGCTCCCCGCGCACCGTGTACAAAAGGGAGCTCCCCGCGCACCCTGTACAAAGGGTGCTCCCCGCGCACCGTGTACAAAAGGGAGCTCCCCGCGCACCCTGTACAAAGGGTGCTCCCCGCGCACCGTGTACAAAAGGGAGCTCCCCGCGCACCCTGTACAAAGGGTGCTCCCCGCGCACCGTGTACAAAAGGGAGCTCCCCGCGCACCCTGTACAAAGGGTGCTCCCCGCGCACCGTGTACAAAAGGGAGCTCCCCGCGCACCCTGTACAAAGGGTGCTCCCCGCGCACCGTGTACAAAAGGGAGCTCCCCGCGCACCCTGTACAAAGGGTGCTCCCCGCGCACCGTGTACAAAAGGGAGCTCCCCGCGCACCCTGTACAAAGGGTGCTCCCCGCGCACCGTGTACAAAAGGGAGCTCCCCGCGCACCCTGTACAAAGGGAGCTCCCCGCGCACTGTGTACAAAGGGTGCTTGCCGCACACCCTGTACAAAGGCTGCCCAGATTATAATGAAAGGTCCTGAGAAAAAACAGAGACTAAAATGCAGCCCGATGAAACAAAGCAACGGTGGCTCCCTCCTCGGCCTAGTCTCACCTTCTCTTCCCTCGCGGCCCCTGCTCCCTCGCCAGTGCTCGTGGCGCGAGGCTGCATCTCCAAGACGGTGCGGAAGAGCTTCTCTGAGGTCTGGGTTAGGAAGCCGATTTCAGCGTTGGGGTGGAGGCCGTAGAGGTACGGTGACTCGGCAGGCAGGGCATCGTCTATGTACTGAACAGAGAGAGCACAGGGCACGCTTAACGGCCACGTGGCTGGGCTGGGCAGCGCCACACAGCACCTCAGGCGGGACTGAGCTACGGGCTCAGGCTGCTCAGAAGCAGGAGGGTGACTTAGCAAAGCCACTGGAGTAGTAATACTTCCTGCCGCCACCTAACCAGCCTGCTCATTGCTGCAGGATGTCTGGGCTGCCTAGCTCAGACCCTCTTCTACCTTTTGCGTGCTCCACGTCTGGGCATCAATACTCTGAACCCTGCTGGGAACTTCATTTCCCGCAGCAATCACCATTTCCTCAGGATGAGAAACAAAACCGACCCAACGTGCCCGGGCCTGCTGCTGCCGCGGCACCCGGAGAGCCGAGGGAATCAGGAAGCAGACACCCAAGAGTCTGGAGTGTTCTCATCAGACCCAGCAATAACAAGAGCTTGAAAGGGCCATTTTAGCTAAAGGTATGCAGATGCAATTTTCCACTAGACCTGCTCAAGACGCAAGAACCAATACAGTTCTTCTGTTAAACTTGTGATGAAGGAGCAAATTACCATTAAACTTGGCTCATCCAAGGGGCCGCTGAACAGTCTAAGAAAAGAACAAAACAGGAAACAATCCAAGATGGCCTGAATCTCTGCAATCCTAGTCACTGTCGCCTCTGGGGATTACGGACGACATTCACTTCAGCAGCATGAATAACCCCGGAAAACAAAGAGGTTACCTGGTGATAACCATTGTAGTCCATGTTCCCCGGGAGCGGGAACCCTGGAGCTAGGAAGAACTCTCCCTCCAGCATTTCTGGCTTAATAAATTCCTCCAAGTAGGTTTTGCAAAGGCGTCTGTCCCAGTCATCTGTGATGTGGCCTCCATACATAATCTCACCAAAGAGGTAGCGCAAATCGTCATAGGGGACCTAAAAATGAACCGAGAAGGCATGAAAGAGCCCACAGAGATGCACTTCTGCTGCCAGCACCGTGGGGCGGCCGAGTGGGGTGCAAAGCACTGGTCTACCGGGGGAACGTTTTCCTTTCACCAGTTCATTTGTCTGAGTGCGTGAGGCTCAGGCAGCAGTTACATTTCTGTCTGCAGGAGAGGAGCCCAGGGAAAGCCGGCCTGCTGGACAGACTTTGTGGGGTTTCCCAAGGGAAAGCGACTCTCAGGGAAGTTCCATACAACACACGCAGCTGCCTCGGCAGCCCCACATTCCCAAACCCCACCCTGACGCCCACGCCCCAGCCGACAGCTCATCGCAGTGTAGTTTGAAGCAGCAAGAGACACGAGCCTAGTTAAGACCCGCGCCACAGAATACTGTGGGCCTCCGGCCAGCGCCAGCCCTCCTCCCACAGAGCAAGGGGAGCGGAAGGGAGCATTCGCTCCATCGGCCTTCCAACGTGAAGACGATGCCAAGCTCGGCTAAGGTAAGGCAACTCCTGCTACGACTGTATGTAGCTGGAGCTGAGAACCCTCGGCCGACCCGCTGGGTCTAGTGTAGACCTGGCCTGAGTTCTGGAGTCAGGACGCCTGACGATGTCGGGGGACTGGCACCGAATGGGGGGAATTCAGATGTTCCAACAGATGTAGAAAAGCCTCCGGGCCCCAGTCTGCACACACAGCGGCCTCCTCTGCTCCAGGCACCTTAGAATTGGCCTCCAGATAATTGTATAGCACGTTGACCGAGATAGTGAGGTCTCCAGTGTTAAAGGGATAGGAGCGGTTCCAGCCCTGCGGCCCGAACTTGCGTCTCTCGGCCACCACGGCGTGGAAATAGCAGAGGGCGAACAGGATACTTTTGAACTCGTTCTCTCGGGCACACATCTCCAGAGTGTCCTGAAATGGAAACAGAGCAGCCGTGCTGGGCGTGTCCGCTGGGCCCTTCGGCTCAGGGCTCGATACAGCTCACAAACATGGATGGGGTCAGGGCATGGAGAACCCTCTTGCCCAGTGGCCCTGCAACATGGCCGCCTTGGCCGCTCGTTGCTGCAGCACCGTAGCGCTTTGGGGCTCGTTTTTAGCCCGATCCCTTCCAAATGTTCCCCGGTGCGGTGGGGAGAGCCCCAGGCTGCAGACAGCAACGTGCTGGGAGCTACTGGTGCAAAGCCCGGGCAGAATGCAAGGCCTGAGTGGCCGTGCCAGGCCCTGGAGCTGTCTCGGCCTGCCCTGACCAGGGTAATCTGCCGCCTAGACTGGCTGCCTCATGGGACGAGTGCCCACACCGCTGGAGCGAGTGCTTCTCCTGGCCAGGAGCAGGGGGTGCAGGGCACAGAACCAGACCTCAGAGCCCTGCACCCCAAGAAGCCTCTAAGCAGGAGCCACTGGAGACCTCCTGGCGAGGGGCTGTGAGCCCGATCGTGCTTGGGAGGGGAGGCCCTGTCCCCCGGCTGGCTGGGCCCCCTTTTGACTGCCCCTTGTGACTGCCACTGCAGCTTTTGACCTGAAGCCGCAGGAGCTTTCTGCTGCAGCCAAGACACCCTCTCCCACGCTGGCTCCTGGCCCGCAGCACCAGAGGCGCGGCTCTCCACTGCTACGGACAGCTGCTCTGGTGTTGCTCTCCGCTCCCTCCAGGCAGCCATGAAATGGTGCAGCAGCCACAGGGCCGCCCTTCGCCAGGGACCCGGGCACTGGAACCAAGCGTCTCTGCAGCAACACGGCCCCTGCACCCACAGAGAGTCTCCCAGGAAAGCAGCCAGTCTACGGAGTCGGCCGGCGGCCCTTCACCCATTCCCCTCCTGGGGCGCACAGTGGAGAGCAAAGAGCTGCTCCAAAGACCTGCCTTGTTAACTCTTCCCCTGGAGAGGGCAGAAACACCCATCCCCCCTCTGTCCCCCGCCCCCCTGTCCCGGTCTCCCCAGCGCCAGGACGTCCAGCCCCGACCGCCGCCTCTCTGCTGCGTGTTGCTGGTCCCTGAGACTGAAGCCTGGGCACGGGGCCAGCGCAACCGAAACCAACTGGGACGGCCAAGGAAGCACCAAAAGGCCCCACAGGCTGGTGACTGGGTCAGTTTCCCAGCTGCTCATTAACCCTTTCCTGCCCTTACGTCACTCCTCTCTGTCACGGGGCCACGGCAGCGCTCAGGTGCCTTCCCCGAGAATGGAGGTCCCGCCCGCCGGGAATGTCTGAGCCTTGTTTGAGGGGAATCAGTCTTGGGCATTACGGGCAAACGCCGCCCGGCTGGCCCCTGGGCAGGGCTTTGCCGAAGGCACGGAGAGAACAGGGCCGGCCGACGCGCCCGCCTTTGCAGCCATTCTTGGCCCAGCAACCTCCCAGTGACTTCAATGGGCCTGTGGCGTGAACGGAAGCAGAGTGAGGATCCGGCTCGTCGCCTCATTGGGCCGCTCTCGATTTAATCCCCACCTCTTCCCTCGCTGCAAAGCCGGCCCGCCAGTCCCTGGGGCCAGAATAAGCCTTGCGGCTCTCCGCTGAGCTACATTTGCCCCCCATCCCCGGCGCTGGGCAAGGCCGGAGCACAATGGAGGGAAAGGAGGTGGGAGGCAGCCCCTCCCACACCTGGCAGGGTTTGTGGGAAGAGGCATTGGATTCCGCCTGAGCCATTTGGAAGCTGTTAATTACGCTCTGACGGAAAGGAGCACACGCAGGATGAAAACATCACTCGGGGGGGGGGCTCCCCGCCCTGCTTGGGGGCACTTTCCGTCCAAGTCAAAGTGAGGAATGGCAGCCGATAAAAATGAAACCATCTTCCCTGAGTCGCATCACGTCCTGCCGGGAACCTCCCACCTGGGCGTCCCTGGAGACTCTTCCTTACGCCTCGAAGGCAGGGCAGCCCCTTCCCCGACAGGACCAGGTCCCCTTGTGCCTCCCTGGCAGCTGGCCCGGGACAGGTCCTGCTGCTGCTGCCCGCAAGGACTGGCCATGCCAACGATGGCCGTAAAGCACGGACCTGCTCCACTGGCCAGCAGCACCAGTGGGCAGCGGGGGGACCTTTTAGGAGCATTCCAGCCAGTGGCGACAGCTGGGAGGGACACGAGGGGGCCACCGGTCACGTGACTGCCTCCGTGTGACTCCTCTCTGTGCCACCCCATCCCTGGGGGAGGGCCCTGTCTCTTCCCACCCACACACCAGGCCCCCCGTGGAATCCCCGAAGCATGGGGTCTGGGGTGCTTGAATGAACCGGGCTCTGTCCTCCGGCTGCTGTCCTCTTGCCCCACCCACACTTCCTGCTTCTGAAAAGTGCAAGAGCCCCGGGGCACAGTCGGCTAGTGCTTATCACATGGTTGACTAGTGACTCGACTAGTCATCCCCCCCCCCCCCCGACAGGCAGCAAGGGAGGGAGCAGGAGTCGGTGTGGGGGGAATCCGGCTTAAAAACCAGTTCCCCCCAGCACCATCTCTGTGGGGAGGGCACGGGGCTCTTGTACATTTCAAAAGCAGGGAGCGTGGGGCCGGGCAGGACTGCTTGAGTCCCCCAATGGCCGTGCTCCCTCCAGCACTTCTGCTTTTGAAATACAGCGAGAGCCCCGCGCCTGCTCCATTTCAGCGCCACCCGTTCCCTGCTGCGCCCCTGCCCCCCGCCCCCAGAGATGATGCTGGGGGGAACTGGCTTTTAAGCTAGCTCCTGCCCTTGCAGCCTCTCTCTGACAGATTTCTGATAGAGACAATAAGGGGGCGGGAAGTGACTAGTCGACTCGTGTGTTGACTGTCTGATAAGCATTCGCTTATTGGGTAGTCGACCAGTCGCTTACGTCCCTGCTCTCGACAGAAATGGCACAACAGTGCCCCGGGTCTTCCTTGTAGGCACCTGTCCACGCAGAGTATGAAATTCAGGGGGCAGTGCCCAAGAGAGGATGCAGTGCCCAAGCAGAGAGTATGAGACTCGGGGGCTAGCTTCTGGTTTATATTCATTGCCTTCAAATTCTACTTTCTTCTATTTTTATACTTTTTTGTGTGTAAAGGGACTGCTAAGTGCTAACATGTACAAACTAGCCAGAGGAAAATGCACACTAATTGAAAAAGGACGTGATGGAGGTGGGGGAAGCATGACTCCAACCCATAATAGTCTGAGCAAATTAATTTTCCCTTTACAACAATATAATTTTATTTTTTACACTTGCTCTCCCTTTTCTCTAAGCCGAGTTGTTTTTTTGTAACCAACGTGGCCTTCTTTCTTGATTGTGGCTTTTTAGGCACCTAGTAAAATGTCCTTAAACGGTTCCCAGTCATCATTGGTTTTGTTTAAATTCTCTCTCTCTCTGTCTAAAGCACCGAGCATATATCTCTGATGTGGACTTTGTTCTGCAGGCACTTAACAAATGAGATCATGTCATTTTAGTTCTCGGATCAGTTTCTCTCTCTCTAAATGGGTCTTGGACAGAATTCGCTTGACTTGGATGGAACCTTCTTTGAGTTAGGAAATGGTCATTAACATTTTGAGAAATCCCAAGGAGATTCTAGTATGGACGTGCCTCCTGGCGACAGAGCTCCCCCTCTACACATGCTCACATCGTTCTATAAGGAGCTGGTCCCCTCTAGCAAACACTGTCCAATGCCCCCGTCTCATGCTCTCTCCCACCACAGTGGTCCACAGTCTCTCTATTTCACTTGCTTCTGAACTGTCATCGACTTGACAGAGTGCTTCTCCTCCATCCCCTTGCCCACCCAGCTCCCAAGCTATTCAGTTAGCACTGACATTCGACAAGGTTATGCAGCGGCCAGCTGGGAGCAGAAGGTAGCTGATTTGCCCCAGACTCTGGGCTGTGCATCTGGATACAGTAGTTCTTAGCTAATCTGGCAACTGCTTGATGAGCATAGCTATGCCACGAAGGAAGCCAGTGTTTCCTATGGAGCGTCACCATACCTGGCTGAAGTTATCCAGGGCCTTGTGCAGGTTGGCATGCATCCCAGTGGGAGGCTCGTTGGTGATTTTGATGGAGTTCTCCAGGATGCCCTGGGGGATGACGTGGCCATCAGGGGAAGGAGCAGGCTCTGCGCTAATGAAGACACGGAACTCCTGGTGGCTGCCTGCACTGTGCTGCTCAAGTTTTTTCTCCAGAGAACTCAGCCATTTGGCGACCAGATGGATATTCTAGGGTGGAGAAATGGGGTGATACTTTGTCAACTGCTGGGATTTACATCATCACACAGAGCACCAAGATGAGTTCAAGGAGTCTCCTCGCGCCTCACAAGTCAGTACTTTTCCTCACTGTGTGTAATTCACAGCCCCAGACCTATAATGGACTTAAGTCCTGAGATTCGGTAGAGTCAGGAACGAATGAGTAGTTTGTTTTCTTAGACACTATTTTCTCAGATTGTTTGTTTCCTTAGACTCCGTAATCTTTTGTTTCTTACATTAAAGGGTGGCTGCCCATTCTGCATTATTTTCCCAGAAAAGGGAGTTTCCTTAGACAGCTGCAAGGAAACTCTGGTAATTTTTAGTAAAGTAATTCACAGCTGGTATCAATAGATGTCTGTTCCCAAGGACCCAAGTTTAACAGGTTGATTTACAAAGACCTTTCAGCAACACAACATCCAAAGCTCTCTTTATTCATACAAAAGAGCTTCTAATGACAACAGGCTTCTAACGCTCATCAGTAAATTAACACAAACACTTGGTCAGGGCTTTTGTGCAAACCCTGCAATGTTTCCCCTGCCTAGTGACCCACACAGCTGACCGTTCTACTGAAGTGACAGGGAATGGGCCTGTCTCCTGAGACACCGCACCCTGAGGATCCTAGGGTGGATGAGGCCTCAGGAGGTCACCAGATCGTCCTGTATACTGGGCCGTTAATCTTGAGTACTTCAAATGGTTTAGATTAGTAAACAGGTTTGTACCTCATACGTCTAACTTCAAATACAGGGATGATCCATGCCCACAAACAGACTCTACACATTCCAAGTGCACAGCAATCGCATCGTGCAGCCTCTCCAAGCGCCCCCTGTATTTACTGCAAAGGCTTATGGCTAGACTGCAGTGTGTGCAGAGGGGTGCAAATCTTGTGGGCTGCACGGGGGGAACTCTCTCGAGTGGAAGTGAAATTGAAGTGAAATTGAAGTGAAGTGAAAGTTTCCTTATTATTGTTCTGCTAGCCAGATCCTGTCGCTGGATCCATGCAAAAGCCCAGCACCTGCTCCAAGCTCTTGTGAAGTCAAAGGACTGGACAGGCAAAAAAGGAAGCTAAAGAGGGAATTGCCATAAATATACCCTGCAGTAACACCATGGCTCTTGCCAGAAAATGACCAGTGTGTGTGTAAGCCAGAGCGAGTGTGTGGGGCAACATGGGGGAGCTTCTTCAGCCACATACTTCAAAGCAGCGTTACCCTTACGTGGATGTAGATCACACACTTCTGGAGTTGCCACAGTAACACTCCAAAATAGTAACACACAGAAACTGGCCTGTTCTCCAGAATTCATCCCTTTGTCTACAGCGTGGGAGCATGAGGAGCCCCTTCCCATTTTGGAGCATGCAGGGCATTTCTGCTTGCTGCCTGACCCCCAGCTGCCTTGCAAACCAATGGCAACGAGTCATTTTCACACGGTCTGAGCATCTCAGGAAGCCGGGGGAAAGCCCTGGCTCAGTGCACACGTCAGCAGGGTCTGAAGGAAAGCTTCCTGAAAGCCTCCTGGGAGGGGGGAAGAGACCCCAGCTGTGTTTATGTACGTACAGTTTGCCCCTGCTTCGCTTAGCTTGGCTAGGTGCTCTGCCGGTGGAGGGGTGTCTTGCTCACTGTCATCGATTTGGCTGCGGTTGAGTCACAAACAGCGTTTATTCTAAATGCAGGAACTGCTGAATACGATCACCACAGCTTGTAATTCCTGGGGCGTGCAGAAAAGCCAGCCTGCCCCCAAGGACAAAAGATGCTCTCTCTAAAGAGCTTGGAATGGACAATGTGAGAGCCAGAGGGGAGAGGGCAGGACTTTCCCCTAGCAGGGCAGTGCTGGACACCCATTTCCGGGGACGCCTGGGCCTGGGCGTTGGCTGGCGGCGCCGCTCTTGGGTGGCAGGCTGTGGCACTTGGCGCAGTGAGGCGCACATGGCAAATGGGAGGCTGTGTGGGAGCGGCAACTCCACGCGCTGCGGAGACGTCGGGAGCCCCAGAGCACAGGGCTGCCGGGTGGAGGGAGACGGGCCGTGTGTGGCTCTGCAGGGAGGCAGGACGCCAGGCGGTGCCCTTTGATGTTAGCCAGGGCCGGAGGCCCAGGGGATACTGGGAGTCTGAAAGGGAGAACTGTTGCCTCCTTCAGGGCCACTACTGATCATCACAGCACAGGAGATGACAGAACGTGCTCCTCCCCCGTCCCAACCAACTGTTGGATGCCTAGTTGCTTCTTTCAGGTGCCTGGGCGTCTGTGGGGACCCAGCGGGGGTGGGGGGATCTAGGATTTGTATCTCTTCTGCCTTTCCCACGGGCCACGGCAGGCGGGCTGTTGACTCAGACGAAACGCACTAGCAGCCACCAGCGGTGTGGCTGGAAGATGGAGCGACAGAACAAGCGCGAGGAAAGCGACCGCCGGGGTCGTACGCCGTCAAGACTCCCACGCGGGCTGGGGCTATAGCCCTGGGCGCTTCTCCACCCTCTCCATTTAAGTAGCCATTGGATGGCGGCCAGGATGCGCCTGCTGTCCAGGGGCTCCCAGGCCTGGGTTCCAGACCGGAGACATCGCAGGATGTACCTGGCAGGGCTAAGCCGGGCCTCTGCTGCTGCCACCTGTGCTACCATGGAGATGCTGCAACGTATCCTGGCGCTAGCTCAGTGAGTGCTACTGCGGGTGTGTATGCGAGCAAGGAAAGTCACGCCCCCTCCAGTGTGACACGGGTACGTCCAGGAGCCTGCACCCCCCCTCCAGTGAGACACGGGTACGTCCAGGAGTCTGCAACCCCCCTCCAGTGTGACACGGGTACGTCCAGGAGCCTGCACCCCCCCTCCAGTGAGACACGGGTACGTCCAGGAGTCTGCAACCCCCCTCCAGTGTGACACGGGTACGTCCAGGAGCCTGCACCCCCCCTCCAGTGAGACACGGGTACGTCCAGGAGTCTGCAACCCCCCTCCAGTGTGACACGGGTACGTCCAGGAGCCTGCACCCCCCCTCCAGTGAGACACGGGTACGTCCAGGAGTCTGCAACCCCCCTCCAGTGTGACACGGGTACGTCCAGGAGCCTGCACCCCCCCTCCAGTGAGACACGGGTACGTCCAGGAGTCTGCAACCCCCCTCCAGTGTGACACGGGTACGTCCAGGAGCCTGCACCCCCCCTCCAGTGAGACACGGGTACGTCCAGGAGTCTGCAACCCCCCTCCAGTGTGACACGGGTACGTCCAGGAGCCTGCACCCCCCCTCCAGTGAGACACGGGTACGTCCAGGAGTCTGCAACCCCCCTCCAGTGTGACACGGGTACGTCCAGGAGCCTGCACCCCCCCTCCAGTGAGACACGGGTACGTCCAGGAGTCTGCAACCCCCCTCCAGTGTGACACGGGTACGTCCAGGAGCTGGGCCCCCCCACCTTCAGTGTGACACGGGTACGTCCAGGAGCCTGCACCCCCCCTCCAGTGTGACACGGGTACGTCCAGGAGCCTGCACCCCCCCTCCAGTGTGACACGGGTACGTCCAGGAGCCTGCACCCCCCCTCCAGTGTGACACGGGGGCACCCCTCGCTCCAGTGTAACACAGGTACGTCCAGGAGCTGGCACCCCCAGCTCGGGTACACCACACTAGCACTGCAGCTACAGTGACACGGCTCAGGCTAGCTGCCCAGACACAATCCTGCCTGAGCGATGTGGTGTGTGCTGGGGGCTTGGCCCTCCCACCAGGTGATGCTAAAGGAACTCTCCAGGACGATAAAGAACCAAATGCGTTCTCTGCATTGGTCTGCATGGCTGAGGACGTGAGTAAGATTCCCAAAGCGGAGCCATCCTTCACAGATGACAAATCTGAGGAACTGTCCCAGACTGAGGTGTCAGTATAAGAGGCTGGGGGACAAATGGATGAAATAAACGGTAGGAAGTCCCCAGCACCTGATGGCATTCACCTGAGAGTTCTGAAAGGGCTCAGATGTGAAACTGCAGAACTACTGTGGCTTGTAACCAACCCTACAGCTCAGCTTCTGTGCCCAATGACTGGAGGACAGCCAATTGAGACCAATTTGTAAAACAGGCGATCCTCGCAATTACAGACAGTAAATCTAATTGCACTATCGGGCAAATTGGCTGAAACAGCACAGAACTGTCAGACACATGGATCAATATAATTGGTTGGGGAAAAGTCAACATGGCTTCTGTAGAGGGAAATCCTGCCTCACAAATGTACTAGAGTTCTTTGAGTGGATCAACAAGCATGTGGACAATGGGGGTCCAGTGGATATAGTGTTCTTGGATTTCCAGAAAGCCTTGGACAAGGTCCCTCACCAAAGGCTCTTAAGCAAACTAAGCTGTAATGGGAGAAGAGGGAAGGTCTTCTCGTGGGTTGATAACTGGTTAAAAGACAAAGGGTAGGAATAAATGGTCAGTTTTCCAAGTGGAAAGAGGTAACTAGTGACGTTCCCAGGGGTCGGTCCTGGGACACATCCTATTCAACTCATTCATTAAATGATCTGGAGAAAGGGGCAACCTATGACCACCTTTAGATCAGTATGGAAAGCTCCGTTCCCACAGGCCCCTCATCTGCCATTTGTTGGAAATTCACAGTGCTATCGCCAAAGCTCTTACCTCGCCCACCAGCCTGTGAGGTCGCTGGAACTCACGTCCAGGCTCTATTTACTTGGTCACTATCGGACAGGGGACTCGGAGGTGATAAATTATCTTACCTGTTATTTTCAGTTACCGTACCTGAAGGATAACCCAGTGACCTTCCTTCGCAGCCATGGCTAAAGCTTCCTCTGCCACTGCCTCTTGGCCTTGTCCAAGGGAAACATTGTGGAAATTCCTGTTGTTAAACGTGTAACCAAGTTTCTTCCCTATAAGGAGAAAAGAAAACTGCCAGCCTTGTGTAGTGGAGCCGCCCATGCAGCACTGCTGAGCTCAGACAGGAACCACGAGGCAGAGCTCATGCTCATCCAAACTCCTTCGCGAAACAGCCACCACATTTCTAATTACTATCGTGTTCCTAACACACTCTTTGCCCTGGCATTGAAAGCAGCACCGGCTGCTTCCAAGTGGCAGCTAATTGCAGCACGACATCAACCCGGCGGTGCAGTGGCACAAAGTGCCTTTGCTTAAAGAACAGTACTCCCCCCGTGACCTTGCGTGGGGATGCATTTTAAATTATATGAAATTAACGTCATTTCCAGCTGATTAAGCAGGCTCTGAACCAGATCCCACTCCGTGGGGATTCACCCGCCAGGCCGCGCAGTCGATCGCAAGGGCCATACTCCGGCAAAGCAAATGGAGATGGATTTACATACTGGAAATGGCTGGCTGAGATCTGGGCTGGTGCCCTGTGCCTCTAGGTCATTCCCTTCTCTAGCGCCACACGATGGCTGGCGCTGTGGGACCATGCTCCGGGGGAGGGACTCCTGCTGTCTAGCGATGGGACACAGCGATGGGAAAAGCAGAGGGGACTCTGGCCTGTGCAGCGCCACGGCGCAAGGCAGCGGAGGCAGAGGACCCTGCCCCAGGCCCAGGCCTGCAGCGAAGGGGAAGGGATGTTGGATGAGCGCGGGCGGCTCCAGAGAAGAGCTGGAGCAGCAGCCAAGGAACAGAGATGTGGCCGTGCCCAAGGAACGGATGACTCTACCCTGGGAAGCAGTGAGCCTGGAAAAGCTGTAGAATCGGCCAAACACACAGGCCTACTGTGATGCTGTGGCCACCCAGCCAACATGATCTGGGGGTGCCTAGATGGCGAATAAGTGACTCCCATTAAAGATGGGAATGATGTACCGGGGGAGGAGTCTCCATCACTGACAGTATTCATCTCAAGACTGGCTGTCCTTCTAAAAGCTGCTCTAGCAGCTCTCAGGGGCAGTGCTGGGGTACACAGGAGATCAGGCTCCATGAGCACAGTGGTCCCTTCCGGCTTGGGAATCGATGGATCTAGAAGAAGCAGTGTGACAACAGGGGCCTCTTTGCCACAGCAGTCAAGGAGCTGAGTGCAATGGTCTGGGGGTGCCAGGAATGGTCCTGCAGGGAGCAGGGCTCCTCCCATGCCTCATGGTCACTCCCTGCAAGGGGAAAGAAACCGGGGGGCGGGGGTGTTTCAGAAGCCAAGCACTATGGAGCTGAGGCCTTTGGCACCATCCCTCCCAGTCCCAGCCAGCAGCTTGACAGACAAGCACTGACAGCAGGAAGTCAGGGGGTCTCAGAACCAAATGCAGCTAGCTCCCTTCTCAAAGCCCCTGGGTGTGGTCAGCAGAGAGGGCAGGTCATGTTCTCTTCAGGCAGAAGCTCTAGGAAAATGGTTGCTGTTTTTCGCTTGCTGATTGCAAACCCTCTCGTACAACCTCCGGCGTGCGCTACTGCTTGTGCGAGAGGCACTCCGGAGCTCCAGGAGGTGAGCAGTGCCGATAGTCTATCTAGGCAATACATGGAAGAGAGAAATTTCACTTAAGCTTTAGGCGAGCGTGCACAAAACTCTGCCCATTATCTATTCTTAACAGGCTGCTCTATTATCCATGAGGAGACAAGCAAAGCCCAGGAGATTCATGCCAGGATAATGACCTAGAAGATAACAAACTCCAGCGCTGTGGATTGTTCAGAGACAGGATTTATTTACCTTGTTTTTCCACATCCTTCAAAGGGTCGACCCCTGGGGACAGGATAAAAAACATGGGGGTCGCAGGTCCCGACTCCTCAAATGATGTTGTAAAATCCAGAGATCTTCCTATCACATATTTACTTCCCAGCTTTTCTTCAACAAAATCGCTGCCAGGAAAACATTGCAAGCCTGTTAATATTCAGAAAGTCCAGAAATACACAGAGCAGACAGGCAACTCCTAGGTTGATACACAATCTACTAAGTGAATGTACCGAATCTTGCAAATTGAAAGAAATAAGAAACCTCCTGATGACATGGACGCCAAATACAGAGCCCTAAGTGTGACTTGTGGCTTGCCACTAGGAATTGCTGTTTCAATTGAAATATTCCTGCACACGGGATTTAGTTTTGAAACCTCGTGTGAGAGACCAGAAGAGAGAGCAGGGTCTCTGTGCTGAGAAGGGACATGCTGGGAGGTTCTGGTGACTGCCTCCAATACAAACCTCTTGGAGGCTGGGTGTGGACACATCATCAATGAACTGTCAGGGTTAGTTAATCAGAAGCCCCTGACATGAGACACAAAGGGGCTGTGAACCCACCCCGGAATTCAGATGGGGAGGAGAGAAAGGGCTTTGGGGTTGGCGGGATGGAGGAGAGGCAGAGCACACAGACGGTACGGACAGAAAGAACAGGGAATGCCTGAGAGGCGAAGAGCAAGAAAGCCAAGCAGTAGCCTGTGCCACACTGTGATGCTGGGGAAAGCTGGAGTCTTTGGGCCTGTTGGCTAAGGAGGTTTGGGATTGTGTGTTGAGAAACTGCACTTGGGGTCAGAGAAGCAGAGCTTGGTACGTTCCTTGTAAATAAACAAAGTGACATCAAAGCAAGTCCCAGCCGCCATCAATTTCAGCTCCCACCTGGACCATAACCAGGGCCCCAGAATCTGACTAGCTGCTTGGATGAAAACAACACGGAACATACAGAAGCACAGAACCACCAGTCAACTAGACACACGACACTCATGGCCAAAGCGGCTCACTGCAAGTCACACGCCCATTTCCGGAGTCCTCTGCAAAGTCAGTATTTCAGCTGCCAACGATTTCTACACGATCTCACGTCAATGACATTATCCAGCCAAAGGCGGCAACACCGCTGGTCTCCCCACGTCACTCTCGGAGCGCTGAGCCAATCGAAGCGCAAGGGGAGAAAGGCTACAAATTCAGGCGCTACAGACAGCCCTGTGGGCTCAGTGGCTTATTGGCATCAGCCTGACAGAAGCGTTTTCTCTGAAGGCCGGGCCCCGACACTTGGGATAGGTCAGAGCTGTACAGTCGGGGTCACCATGGAACGTTTTATGGACCATGACCTCAAAGCTTTTTCAGAGTCCTGCTTCCCAGGGGAAAGTCTCCCACCTGGTGAGCATGGCCAGCGTTCTCTGGTCCCGCGTGCCGCTGCAGTGAGCTGGACTAAACCCCATCTTGCTTGCAGCCGTGTCACCTAACAAGCACCCCAGATTGTTCCGTATCAGCGACCGTTCTCCTTCGTTATTTACCTCTCTCCCGACCTCTGTGCATCTACTCTCTTCAGTGGTTAGGGTTGTATGTTCTTTTCCAAGTCTTTCATAAATATATTAAATGGTATAGGGCCAAGAACCGCTCCCTGAAGGACTCTCCGAGAAACACGCCGGCACCGTAATGATTCCCTGTTTAAAACTGCACTGTTAGACGGGGTTTTAATCCATTTAATGTTTCCCATGTTAATTTTAGATTGGGCTAGGGTTTTTTGGTCAAAGTCTGATAGAAGGATAAATATATTGCATCAGCATTATTACCTTTATCAGCTAAACTTACACTTGGTTCCTTTTTTTGATGAGAGTGCATCAGATAACTGGGGTCCTGCCTAAGCTAAAGTGAATGTGAGGTGACAGTCTGTAAATTCTTCCCTGACTTATTGAGACTAATGGGGAAAAGCTTGGGCCACAGCGTGAGAGCCTTCTACAGATCCAGGGAGTGAATAATTCACATGCCCAATCCTGCACCAGTCTGAATACAGGCTACAGGTTTCTGTTTCACCAGCAACCGAAGGGGAGCAGCTCTCAGCTGATACCCTGGCTACAATTCCACTAGCTGGAGAGGCCCCAGACTGTGTTTGCCGACAGATTTCTGAAGGGCTGGAAAGAACTGAGCCACTGCAATTCTTCAAGAGCAGAGGGGATTCTCTCCGCACACTGGACACACTCTGAAGACTGAGAAATCATCTCAGAGAGACGATCCCAGGGCATGTGTTTTGATGTGGGGATGTGTTTTGACAAAAAGGTATCTTTTAAGAAGTGGAAGTCCAATCCTAGTGCGATAAATAGAAAGGAACATAAGCACTGTCAAATCAAGTGTAAAAATGTAAAAAGAAAAGCAAAAAAAGATTTTGAGGAACAGCTAGCCAAAAACTCTCAAAGAAATAACAAAATGTTTTTTAAGTACATCAGAAGCAGGAAGCCTGCTAAAAACCCTGTGGGTCCCCTAGACGATCGAGCTATAAAAGGAGCAATCAAGAACGATAAAGCCATTGCGGAGAAACTAAATGATTTCTTTGCTTCAGTCTTCACGGCTGAGGACATTAGGGAGATTCCCAAATCTGTACTGTCCTTTGTGGGTGGTGAATCTGAGGAACTGTCCCGGATTGAAGTGTCATTAGAGGAGGTTTTGGAACAAATAGAAAAACTTAATGTTAACAAATCTCTGGGACCAGATGGCATTCATCCAAGGGTTCTAAAAGAACTCAAATGGGAAATTGCTGAGCTATTATCAGTGGTTTGTAACCTATCCTTTAAATCGGCTTCCGTACCTAATGACTGGAAGGTAGCCAACGTGACACCAATATTTAAAAAGGCTCTCGAGGCGATTTTTGGCAATTACAGACCGGTAAGTCTAACTTCAGTACCGGGCAAATTAGTCGAAACAATAGTAAAGAATAAAATTGTGAAGCATGTAGAAGAACATAATTTGTTGGACAAAAGTCAACATGGTTTCTGTAAAGGGAAATCCTGTCTTACTAATCTATTAGAGTTCTTTGAAGGGGTTAACAAGCATGCAGATAAGGGGGATCCAGTAGATATAGTATACTTGGATTTTCAGAAAGCCTTTGACAAGGTCCCTCACCAAAGGCTCTTGTGTAAATTACATGGCCATGGGATAAGAGGGAAGGTCCTTTCTTGGATTGAGAACTGGTTAAAAGACAGGAAACAAAGGGTAGGAATAAATGGTAAATTTTCAGATTGGAGAGGGGTAACTAGTGGTGTACCCCAAGGGTCAGTCCTGGGACCAATCCTTTTCAACTTATTCATAAATGATCTGGAGAAAGGGGTAAGCAGTGAGGTAGTAAAGTTTGCAGATGATACCAAACTGTTTAGGATAGTCAAGACAGAAGCAGACTGTGAGGGACTCCAAGAAGATCTCACCAAACTGAGTGATTGGGCAACAAAATGGCAAATGAAATTTAATGTGGATAAGTGTAAAGTAATGCACATCGGGAAAAATAACCCCAACTATACGTACAGTATGATGGGGGGTAATTTGGCTACGACAAATCAGGAAAGATCCTGGAGTTATCGTGGATACTTCCCTGAAAACTTCCACACAATGTGCAGCGGCGGGCCAAAAAGCAAATAGGATGCTAAGAATTATTTAGGAAGGGAAAGAAAATAAGACCCAGAATATCTTACTGCCCCTGTATAAAACTATGGTACGCCCACATCTTGAGTACTGTGTACAGATGTGGTCTCCTCACCTCAAAAAAGATATTTTGGCCTTGAAAAGGGTTCAGAAAAGAGCAACTAAAATGCTTAGGGGTTTGGAACGGGTCCCATATGAAGAGAGATTAAAGCGACTGGGACTTTTCAGTTTAGAAAAGAGGAGACTGAGGGGGCATATGATAGAGGTCTATAAAATCATGAGTGGTATGGAGAGGGCGAATAAAGAAAAGTTATGTATTAGTTCCCATAATAGAAGAACTAAAGAACACCAAATGAAATTAATGGGGAGCAGGTTTAAAACTAATAAAAGAAAGTTCTTCTTCACACAGCATGTAGTCAACCTGTGGAACTCCTTGCCAGAGGAGGCTGTGAAGGCTAGGACTATAATAGAGTTTAAAGAGAAGCTAGATAATTTCATGGAGGTTAGGTCCATAAAAGGCTATTAGCCAAGGGATAAAATGGTGTCCCTGGCCTCTGTTTGTCAGAGGCTGGAGAGGGATGGCAGGAGACAAATCGCTTGATCATTGTCTTCGGTCCACCCTCTCTGGGGCACCTGGTGCTGGCCACTGTGGGCAGACAGGCTACTGGGCTAGATGGACCTTTGGTCTGACCCCGTACGGCCGTTCTTATGTTCTTATGATGTGTTTGTTAAAGCACAGACGGGTAAATGCTGGAATTTTCAGTCTGAATCTATGTAACAGTGGAGAAAGTCTGTATGAGGGACATGAACAGATGTGCTTTCTAGTAACTTGTGTTTAAGTTATTCATAGTATTCCAAAGTCTATTTACCAGGTTTTAAATTATTTATATGATTTTTCCTCTGCATTCAAGGTCTGATTTACTCTGAAAATATATGGGCTTGCTCTCTTTTTGAGGAACTTGGAGGAGAGGAAAGTGATAAGGAATAGTCAACATGGGTTCACCAAGGGCAAGTCATGCCTGACCAATCTGATTGCCTTCTATGATGAGGTAAGTGACTCTGTGATATGGGGAAGGTGGTGGACGTGATGTACCTTGGCTTTAGCAAAGCTTTTGATACCGTCTCCCGCAATAATCTTGCCAACAAGTTAAGTAAGTATGGATTGGAGAAATGGACTGTAAGGAGGATAGAAAGCTGGCGAGATTGTCGGGTTCAACAGGTAGTGATCAACAGCTCGCTGTCTGGTTAGCGGTCAGTATTAAGCGGAGTTTCCCAAGTAGGGATGTTAAATATCGGTTAACTGAATAGTCGATTAACCTCGTGAATTCTTATCGGTTAGTCGATTATTCTATAGACCTCGGGGGTGGGGCCAGCAGCCAGTGTGCCCCTGCCACTCTACTGCTGCCTCCGCTTCCCTCCCTGAGGAGGAAAGCCCTTTCGTTTCTCCTGAGACATCTGAGCTATGTTGTCTGCCTAAAGCTTAGCTTTGCCTATTCGCCTTCACTTCAGAATTTCTAACTACAACTTTCAGAAGTAGCAGGACGTGTGTTATTTTTCCAGCACTAACCCAATCTCTAAGACATCTCTTTACCCCAGCTTCTAAGGAATAACAGCTATAAACAATTTAGTAGCTAGTACTATGTATAATGAATTCTACAGTTTGATTCTGCTCCAGTTATTTATTCTTAGATTTAGAGACAAAGGACTGATGTGTAAAACCAGGGCAAATTAGGATGAAGGGGACAGTTGCTGTGAAAGTTGAAGCCTGTTCTTTTTCCTTTTCTTGAATCTACAGTTGGTGAAGCAAAACTAGAGTAATTACAGTAGCTGACATCCCACAGCTATTCACGGCAAGTGACTGTAGTGAGTCTGCTGCTTATTCAAAGCAATAAGACAAATCCATTAATAAGAAAATAGGTGAGTTTGCTGTTTGATTTGATTTTGTAAACAGCAAGGCACTGACACAACCGATAATAATTGGGAAGTGTTCTGCTGCAGCTGTGCTTTATTTTTCACGTTTAACACAGCAGAGGTATTGTAATGAAACCATTTCTGTTCAGCAAGCAATTCCATACAGCCCAATCTGGCATCTCAGAATCTATCATCCACTGTCTGAGAATGTACTGCAAAGTGGGAAAGCTGCTCTACCCAGTCAGGAACAAAGGACCATTTGTGCACACAAAGCTTCACGGTTCCTGTTGATATCACCCAATTTTTGGCCACATGTCCACTCCTCGCTCGGTTTAATTTAAGCTGCTGTTATGCACAGTTAGGTCCCCTGGCAGCCGTCCTCATGAACTGGCTTTCCGTAACTAAGAGGGTCCTGGTAAAGTGGGGTGGGTGCATACACTTTACTAGGGCCAGTCAGAAGTGTCTTTCACAGCAAGAGCCTGTGATCCGTACACTGGGGTTAAACACACGTGAACTCATTTGCTGAATCAGCTCAGCTTTCCTGAGCGCCCCACTGGACAGTCAGACGCGCACGCCACCCCTGCAGGACAGATCCCAGAGACAACCTCTTGGCCCCTTACCGGACAGCGTAAGTCATGCGGTCCGGCCGGATGGCTCTCAGCATGCACAGCCGCTGCAGCGCTGACTTGTTCTTCCACTCCTGAGGGAACTTCTCCCTCTCAGGGCATTCCGATTCGACAAACTTCTTCCAGCGTTTGGCAGAGCCCTCGATATCCCGGTCCAGGTTCCGGAACTCCTCCATAGACGCCAGGCTCTGGAAGAGGGTGGCGAACTCCCGTTAGGACAGACACGCTGCGCGCTCGGGAAGCATTTCTTCCAGCGAATAGAGGCGCCATGCCGGAATGGTTCCTACCACAGCCAAGAAGCCAGGCTCCTGGGTTCTATTCCCAGTTCGCTCACCCCCCTCCGGCTCAAGCTGCACAAGAGGAATGATAATAATACAGGACCTGCTCTGTGAGGCTCACTTAACTAGGCCCGGATGCCGCAAGGCATCCTCTCTTGACAGCCCTTGAGCATATACTGAACCTTACACCAGTGGGACTTATGCACTGTCCTGATGAGTTGGGGTAAAGTGCTTAGACTCGCAGACCCATCCAGTTAGCAGGGACCTCCAAAGGGCACCTTGGATGAATTAACTTTGTAAGTGCAAAGTCTATTACGTGCCAGCCCCAAACAAATCCAGCTCCAGGGAAGTGCAGAAGAACTTTATTGCTCAGAACCACTGCTAATTATGATGGGCCGCATCCTGAAGGACGTGAGCAGGAATAATGCCCGTGCACGTCACGGGTAATAGCATGTGTCACCCCGGCTACGTGCAATGCTCCTGGAAGCCATAAATCAGCAAGCGACTCTTCGCTTGGGCCACTAGACGGGGTACTTGATGGACTGGCAAGCACGACACCCTGCCAGGGTTCCAGGTGACTGCACTTGCCAGTTCACAGTCCCTGGCTGTGCACAACCTGCTGTGCAAGGCAGGTCGGCTAGGCCCCCCGTGGCCCACTCACAGCTTGGGGGAGGGGAGGCAAATGGGAGCCTGGCCCCAAGCACCTTTCAGCTCCTTCCTCAAGAAGCTGCACTTGGAGACTGCCGGGGGAGGGGCGGAGCGGTCCCGGGGCAATCGTTTTGAAAAGCCAATGGGAGGAGGGTGAGGAAGAGTTTCCCTCCTGTGAGAGCTGCCCCCTGGATTCCCACGCTGCAGATCCACAGGCAGGGAGCAGCCATCACTCAGTTTTCCTTCCCACCACCACCCTCAGTCCCCCTCTTTCGCAGCACGTCCACCCACAGACAGCGTCACACATAGGACTCAGCGGCGGCTTGCTTAGCCGGCTCAGCCAAGGCGAGAGGGAGGAGGACGTCGCAATGGGGAATCCGTTCTCGCGGCCTGGCAGCAGGAGCCCGGGAAGCAGCCCCAGCGGGGTGGGACCGGACCGAGTTGGCCACGAGGCACACGCTGCCACGCACTGCGTAGCTCTGCAAAGAGCAACCAAGGGGCAGGCGCAGGGCAGCTTCGAGGGCTGCGGGTGAGTTCCCAGCTCGCTGCCAGACAGGACTGAGAGGCAGTTGGGGCCACTCCTGCTTTTTGCCCCTGGAATCCCTCTCCCTGGGGGGAGAAGAGGGCTATAGTGGAAGACTCTGGCCACGAGGCACACGCTGCCACGCACTGCGTAGCTCTGCAAAGAGCAACCAAGGGGCAGGCGCAGGGCAGCTTCGAGGGCTGCGGGTGAGTTCCCAGCTCGCTGCCAGACAGGACTGAGAGGCAGTTGGGGCCACTCCTGCTTTTTGCCCCTGGAATCCCTCTCCCTGGGGGGAGAAGAGGGCTATAGTGGAAGACTCAGAGCCCTGAAATTCACGGATATCCACAGCTCACTTTTGTACGTACAGGGTTCGAAAGAGTCAGAGCTCGTGGCCAGCATATTCCCGCTGCGGGAATCAGCGCCAGGCATTTCTGGGGACAGTGAGATCTTCCCCTGTCAGCATGCACAGCCGAGCGCAGATTTGGGCCCGGGAGTTACTTTATACACAGATCAGACCCACACCCGGCTTTGCTGCAGGCACTGTCACACCCTTCCACTAACGTCTCCTGCTTTGCTGCATACACCACGAAAGCTCACGATACTGTCTCTGTGTGTGTATGTATGTGTGTGCCTGTGCGTGTGTATGATTCTGTCTGTGTGTGCGTGTATGTGTGTGCACGTGTATGTATGTGCCTGTGCATGTGTGTATGATTGTGTGTATGTATGTGTGTGCCTGTGCATGTGTATGATTCTGTCTGTGTGTGCGTGTATGTGTGTGCACGTGTATGTATGTGCCTGTGCATGTGTGTCTGACTGTGTCAGGGTGGGGTCCAGACGGACAGCTGTGCAGGCACTATGTCTGCTGTATGATTCTGTGTGTGTGTGTATGTGTGTGTGTATGTGCCTGTGCATGTGCATGTGTGTATGATTCTGTGTGTGTGTGTGTGTGCCTGTGTGTGTGTATGATTCTGTGTGTGTGTGTGCGTGTGCGTGTGCGTATGATTCTGTCTGTGTGTGCGTGTGTCTGTATGTGTGTGTGTTTGTCTCTAAGGTGCTACCGGACTTTTCCTTTGAGACAGAATTACCATTTTCCATCAGAAGGCAATCTGGCTTGTTGTTACATGTGTCCCTTGTGTGCAGTGGCTCAGAGAGGGGTTCCGAGGGCAGAGACGGGAGAGCTTTTTACACAGGGATGAGTATGCAGCAGGGTGGCTCAAAAGGCAGATGGGGCAGCAGCCTGACACAAGGCCGCCCAGGGCGGCTGCCTCTGGGGAATGGGTTGGCTGTTTTATGCACAAGAACAATTTCAAGTTTGGTGTCATTGCTTCCCAGAGCTTACCTTCCAGTGCCTGTGGGCCTGTAGCAGAATACAGGACCATGTAGCACTTTAAAGACTAACAAGATGGTTTATTAGATGACGAGCGTTCGTGGGCCAGACCCACTTCGTGTGTTTATTGGAGAGAAGACGTATTCTCCCTGGACGCAGTCGTTTCTAAGGACACTGTCAGGTCAGATCTGCCCCCATATGTACGTGTCGCTAAAACAAATGTTGACAAACCCAGACAAGCAGAAATAGGTCCACGCTTTTTTGTCTTTAGTGGTGATGGAAATAGTTTAAAACCCAAAGCACATCGCTCTCCAGCTGCATAGGTTCCACCGGACACCGCAGCATTATGCTGTGGCATCAGAACCTACAAGTGAAAGTGACGAGTCTATTTTCTGTGTCCCGCCCCAGGTTAATACTACGAACGCATGCAACAGAATCAATCACAAACCCAATATTTCATGAGCTGGCCCCCCAAAGCCTGAGTCTCGTTTGAGGAGGAGGAGTTTTGTCTTTATGTTTCTGCTATTTGAGCCGCTGGGGTCTACTCGTTTCCCAGGGGCTGGTGCCTGAGAGGGAAGGGGGTGCAGGGAGAGCCCCCCAGAGGAGCAGGGAGGGGGGATGAGGCAGCATCCCATTTAAAGATCAGGATTTTGGCAGGGGCTCAGGGACAGGGCACTTTTGGGTGCTGTTTGAGGAGGAGGAGTTTTGTCTTTATGTTTCTGCTATTTGAGCCGCTGGGGTCTACTCGTTTCCCAGGGGCTGGTGCCTGAGAGGGAAGGGGGTGCAGGGAGAGCCCCCCAGAGGAGCAGGGAGGGGGGATGAGGCAGCATCCCATTTAAAGATCAGGATTTTGGCAGGGGCTCAGGGACAGGGCACTTTTGGGTGCTGCTGCGAGTCGACTGCCTGTTTTGGGTTTGCAAGCTTTTCTTGCATCAACAGGTGTGTTGTAAGCAAAACTCGTGAAGTCATTCTGCCGCTCTACTCTGCACTAGTTAGGCCTCAGCTGGAGTACTGTGTCCAGTTCTGGGCACCACATTTCAAGAAAGATGTGGAGAAATTGGAAAGGGTACAGAGAAGAGCGACAAGAATGATTAAAGGTCTAGAGAACATGACCTATGAAGCCAGGCTTCATGAACTGGGCTTGTTTAGTATGGAAAAAAGAAGATTAAGGGGGGACATGATAGCAGTTTTCAAATATCTAAAAGGGTGTCACAAGGAAGAAGGAGAAAATTTGTTCCTCTTGGTTTCTGAGGACAGGACAAGGAGTAATGGGCTTAAAGTGCAGCAAGGGAGGTTTAGATTGGACATTAGGAAAAAATTCCTAACTGTCAGAGTGGTCAAATCTGGAGATATTTAAGAACAGGTTAGATAGACATCTGTCAGGGATGGTGTAGACGGAGCGTGGTCCTGCCTTGAGGGCGGGGGGCTGGACTCGATGACCTCTCGAGGTCCCTTCCAGTCCTATGATTCTATGATTCTATGATTCTTCCTACCCATGCGGGCTGGAAACAGAGAGAGGAAGCCGAGGGTTTCCCATCCAGCCTGTGGGGCTCTGAGAAACTAAACACCCCAATGCTACAAGATTCCTGGCAGAAGCGTGAAAACTAGAGCGACTGGAGACCCTCGTGCAGCTGGAGCCACCTGGGCTGTTTGTGGGATGCGTTTCACAAGGCACGTTGGTGGAGCAGGAGGCTGCTCCGGTGCTGTGGCTGTTTCCCAGGCAGCCCCTGCCAGCAGGTTCTCGGAGGACCCGCATGTTTAAGGGAAGGTGCGAGGAGCAGGATGGAACAAGCGCCGCACGTGTGGGGCTGCAGGTTCTACAATATGGGTCATTGAACCTCCCAACAGTCTGCTCATTCGCTCCAGCCCAGCAACTTGCCAGGTGAATAGAAACAGCCTCATGTTCTTCATTTTCACTGCTGTTACGGTGCTGACGTGCCCCACTTTAGTAACAGCCCCATATGAATGGGTGCAGCCCCAGGGAGCGCCCAATCGCAGGGCAGAGGAATAGCCAGACACCCGAGGAGGACACGGTGCTGGGGCTAGCAGCCCAGCCTAGGCCAGGCAGGAGTGGGAATGCTGACAAGTGATCCCTCTGGAGCGGCAAGGGCAGCACTCAGCACGGTCCTTGAAAGCTGTCGGGGTGCTGGCAGCTGTAACTGACGCCAAAAGCAAATCAAAGTAGTTCAATGACTCAGCAGGGTTCTATCTGCAGACTGGGAATGGTCCGCTCTAGCCCCGAGTGCTACAGGGTTGAGTTCAGCATGTAACTAGTCACCAACGCTGCAGGTTCTCCAGCTGTGCCAGTTTTACTCCACCCAGAGGCCAGAGAAGCAGACCTCCCCAGTCGAAACGAGGGGAAATTCCCCACAATCTTCCTGGCGTCATGTCTTCAGAGCAGCGCTTGGGGCAAGACCACGCAGCCAGTTCACTCGGGTCCTGTTTGGACTGTTAGAACGTGGCAGAAGCAGAGCTGCTTTGATACCCGACTTAACTCCTGGGGCATGACGAGGTTCTTACGCTGCATTGCTAACTTGGACACTGGGCA